ATTTAAAGCTAGGTGATTGACCTGAGAGCCAAGGTCACGCACAAAAAATTGTCGCCCCCTATGAGGATTCAAATGCGCGACTTTCGGATCCGCAAGCGCGCGTCTAGCCGCTATACCACCACGGTTCGCCGTTCAAGTATTCTTCTCTCAGAGACATGACTCCACCACCCCTCCCGAATAGATTTCTCTCAGAAACAAGAGTCCATCACCGCTTCAAAGTAGAACTCTCAGAGGCAAGAGTCCGCCACCCCTCCCGAATAGAACTCTTTTAGAGACAAGGGTCCACCAAACCTTCAAAGTAGAACTCTCAGAGACAAGAGTCCACCAAACCTTCAAAGTAGAACTCTCAGAGACAAGAGTCCACCACCCCTTCCGAATAGAACTCTCTCAGAGACAAGGAACAACCACCCCTCCCCAAAAGAACTCTCTCAGAGACTAGAGTCAACCATCCCTTCCCAATGGAACTCTCTTAGAGACAAGAGTCAACCACAGCCACACTAGAACACTCTTAGAGACAAGAGTCAACCGCCCCTCCCTAACATAACTCTCTCAGAGACAAGAGTTAACCACCCCTCGCCAATATAACTCACTTAGAGACAAGAGTCAGCCGCCCTTCCCTAACAGAACTCTCTCATGGACAAGAGTAAACCACCCCTCCCCAATAGAAATTACTCAGAGACAAGAGTCAACCGCCCCTTTCTAACAGAACTCTCTCAGAGACAAGAGTCAACCATCTCTCCTTAGTAGAACTCTCTTAGAGTCAAGAGTCAACCGCCCTTTCCTAACAGAACTCTCTCAGAGATAAGAGTCGACCATCCCTCCCCAATAGAACTCTATAAGAGACAAGAGTCAACCGCCCCTTCCTAACAGAACTCTCTCAGAGACAAGAGTCAATCGCCCCTTCCTAACAGAACTCTCTCAGAGACAAGAGTCAATCGCCCCTTTCTAACAGAACTCTCGCAGAGACAAGGGTCAACCACCCCTCCCCAAAAGAACTAACATAGAGAAAAGAGTCAACCGCCCCTTCCTAACAGAACTCTCTGAGATATAAGAGTCAATCGCCCCTTCCTAAAAGAACTCTCTCAGAGACAAAAGTCAACCCCCCCCCCCCCCCCCCCCCCCACCCCCCGTCTTTCTCCCAAAAGAACTAACTCAGAGAAAAGAGTCAACCGCCCTTTCCTAACAGAACTCTCTGAGATATAAGAGTCAATCGCCCCCCCCCCCCCTAACAGAACTCTCTCAGAGACAAGAGTCAACCACCCCCCCCCCCCCCCAAAAAAAAGAACTAACTTAGATATAAGAGTCAACCAACCCTCCCCAATATAACTCTCTAAGAGACAAGAGTCAATCGCCCCTTCCTAACAAAACTCTCTCAGAGACAAGAGTTAACCGCCCCTTCCTAACAGAACTCTCTCAGAGACAAGAGTTAACCGCCCTTCCCTAACAGAACTCTCTCAGAGACAAGAGTTAACCGCCCTTCCCTAACAGAACTCTCTCAGAGACAAGAGGTAACCGCCCTTCCCTAACAGAACTCTCTTAGAGACAAGAGTCAATAACCCCTCCCCAAAAGAACTCTCTCAGAGACAAGAGTCCACCGAAGCTCCTTAATAGAACTCACAGAAACAGTCCTTATTTTTCTTCACGTTTATCGTCTGTAAACTCCGACGGAAAGTTCTGGTTGTTTGTCCACTTCTGGACTTCGGCTTTGTTCCAGAAAACTTTAAACTGCATGGCAGGCCTACAAAGCAGATGCGAAATACCTTGTTGCATCTCTACAGAAATAATAATTAGGACATCCTTATCGGCAAAACCAGGCGGCTTGTGGGGGTGAGGGCGAGAACGACAAATCGTCGTCTGATGTTTTACACATGCACTATATGCAACAAAATGAGGGCGTTGGCCTTTTCACGGGCTGAGAGCCAGCGCGAGCGAGGACAGATCTCATTCTGAGAACCAGGCGCCGTGTAGTGTGCGATCTGCCATGTCAGTTCCTGTTTTTTTACAACAGGAGTTCTGTTCCTAGTTCTAAACGATTCCACAAAACCTGTGGAGTTTCAACGTCTATGGAGAGAAATAGGCTGAGATTCTAGTACCAAGGTGAGTAGGTAGATCACACAGTGACATCTCAGACACTGTTGTTTTTTGTGAATTTGTGTGTGGTTTCATATCGTGGCCATCGATGGCAATGTGTGAACAAGCAAAAGAAAAGCATCCTTCTCTTGCTATATTTCGGGAATATGAGACTAGACTAAGTCTTCTATACGAACCAGTACTGAATAGGAGATCGAGTTAACATCACGCTGACCAAATTTACGTCCAGGAATTTTTATGTTACCCATTTTAGGTTGGGTCGACTGACCTGGAACGTAAATTACATAATGGTCTTCCGCCAATGGTTGCATGATTTTGTAGTGTTCCTCTCAAGATGTATTCAAAGTACAAATTGAAAAAAAAAAAAAAAAAACACTGATGATTGCATGCGTGTTTTTAATATGCCAGTGTGCTGTGTTTATGAATGTATATAAATGTAGTAGAAGTAGTAGTAGTAGTAGTAGTAGTAGTAGTAGTAGTAGTAGTAGTAGTAGTAGTAGTAGTAGTAGATTTTACCCCACTAGGACATCACACAAGCGATAAACACCCGATTACACAAAGTGCCACCATGCGGATGAGGATCACCCGTGGAGAGTTCCCAGAAACTGAGTTCAGCTATTAGACCGTATTTATGGCCGGGCTATATTGCGGCCCCTGGCAAGAAACAGGGTGGGTCTTCAAAATAACGAAAAATTGTATCACAAAAAGGGATGACTAGTTATATATATATATATATATATATATATATATATATATATATATATATATATGTGTGTGTGTGTGTGTGTGTGTGTGTGTGTGAATGTATGTGTGTATGCCTGTGTGTGGTGTGCGCGTACGTGTATGTATATTTGCATGTATGTAAGCGTGTGTGGTATGTATGCAAATTCGCATGTGTGCATAAATCATCTATAATTCTGAGTATTTTACTTGATAGTCATATTATGTATATTGTTGTAGATCATTGAATGCTTCACAAATAAAAAACAACTGCTGTTTAAAGAGCCGAATGTAAAAAGTGTCTGCGTGCACAATTTGGGGCTCTTTGAAAAGAAAGTTCGTTCCTCCATCTCAACATCTCAGCAAAGTGATTAATGATAATTGATTAGCACTCAGATCCATAGCTGCATCGATCTCCTCCCCAATAGCTAAGCAAAGCAGTGGGAAAATGAGAGGATCGACTGTGGTCTTTTTATGAGTTATGCAAGATGTTCTTCGTTACTTTAAGGTTACTCGTCATGTTCTTTGTTTTGCGTGGTTTTGCTTTGCGTTATATTCACCGTATTTCCAAAGACCGACCGGTACTCCATGTGTAACATCATTCCTATCAATTATACTTCCTAAAGCAATGGACAATCCCACAAATTCGCCTCCGCGCAGAACCAAACCCAAGACCTTCGGGCTGGCAGGCATAATTGAAACTCAATTGAGTTGAGTTAAGAATTGACATCACAGGACTTGAGGTATTCCCATGCATGCTCCGTCCTCATCTTCAGCAGCCAGCGCAGAATTCAAATACTGATGGTACCGGTCACAATCTGGTTAAATGTCCGTCTTGCCTTTCCTCTGAGTGTAGTGAGCCGGCCAGACCTTCTGGTTACAACCAGGTGCCTCATTCTCTCCAGGCCATAATAATTTTCAGTCCCTACTGATTCAATTGCTTGTTCCCAAAGGGCCTTGACAACACATGATTTATCATGTATCAATTCACCTCCCAGTGGTGCGGATCCAGCCAATCTGCCGCCTGTTCATTGCCCACCACACCGGCATAGCCTGGAGAAAAGATCCAAAGTATGCTCACCACCCGTGACCTTTCCAGTAAAGCTAGCCACTCTGCTCGAAGCATCCCTGTTTTCACCTTCTCCAGCATGCTTTCAGAGTCTGTTACAATTACGACATGTGTATGCATCTGGTTCTCTAGCCACCGGAGAGCTGCAGTTACAGCCTCCACCTCCATTCTAATGCTAGATGTTGTGTTGTCATTAATACTCAAGGATACTCGTGCCATCAAAATTCACTTTCCAGTGTGTCGAGATAACTGCCATGTTTTAGAAAAAACTGCACCATAATGGTGAAAACTGCAGCACATCTATAAATGGATATTGTTTCTTTTTCTAACCAAGTAATTATATTTTTTAAGTGAGTCATTTGTGTGATTTTTTATGTTTGCGATAATGCTTAAACAAAATTTTAATATGTTGGTTTATTTGCCTCTCAACAGGATATGTGGCTAAACAGAAGCGGCCATGTTTCTCTGTGGCTGGTCCACGTGACACTCTGGCTTGTTGGAACATGTACAGATCCGTTACATCTGTCGCCGTTTCTGGAGAGAGGCGATATTAAATCTGCCTTGGAGCTCAGTGAAGTCAGGGATCCCCAAAAAATAATCCCGAAGAGCTACGCTGGGTTTATAACCGTGGACAAACAACTGGGCAATCATTTGTTTTTCTGGTTCTTCCCTGCCATTTCAGAACCTCTCGCGCCGGTTCTCGTGTGGCTGAATGGAGGTCCTTCCGTTTCTTCCATGTTTGGTCTACTGTGGGAAAACGGACCTATCAGAGTTACAGAAACAGTTAGCGCTACTGGAGATGAAACATCTTACAAAAGATGGGAGAAATCCTGGGCGGAATCGTTTGCTATGCTATATATAGATAACCCAGTTGGTACTGGCTACAGCTATTCAGACAGTGGTCAACGTGGTTGGAAAACTACCAACGATGGCTACACAGAGGACTTGTTCTCTTTCATCAGCCAGTTCTACACATTATTTCCTGCCTATTTGAACACCCAGTTATACATCGGGGGACAGTCGTACGCTGGGAAATATATCCCAACTGTGGCTTTTCGGATACACAAGGAAATCCAGGCAAACAGATCATCGATACCCCTAGCTGGGATCTACATGGGAGGTCCTTTCTTTGATCCCTACACCCAGGGTCTAGCTCAGGGTCTCTTCTATTATTCTCTTGGAGCAATATCCTATGCAGAATATCTCAATCACCAGAAATCTGTCAGAGAATTATTCGATAGAAACGACACAGACAGAGAGAGTATGGCGAGTATAATTGATAAAATTGTAGCTGCAACACCTTATATTGAAGAGAATTACCTTACAAGAGTACAGCCTGATTATCGTCAGGTTCAAGTTCTGATGAACTCGAAGCTCATTCGAGACATGGTTCACGTAGGCAGCAAGCGTAAGTTCCTAACTTTCAACAAAGATCTTCACGCCAGGTTTAAGTCTGACGCCATGTTGAGCACAAAACCACAACTGGCCGAAATCATGAACAACTATAAAGTCCTCATTTATTCTGGAGACATGGATGGGATCACTACGGATGTTGGTACTGAAGAAGCCATCATGACGATACCTTGGTTTTCTCAAATTAGTTACAATAACAACACTTATCGCAATCGTTGGTACAACGATGGCACAATTCTAGGTTATTATACACATGCAGGTGAGTTCTGTCGAGTGATTGTCCGCAATGCTGGTCACCAGACGCCTTACGATCAACCGGACGCCACACAGAAGATGATGCTGGACTTCGTTCGTCATGGGTGTATTCAAGGTAGAATGTGCTCTTTATATCCCACTCGGCATCCCTCACTCATACACCAACTCACTTATTCGACCGCTTCCACTCACTCACTTGTTCACTCACACACTTACTTGTTCACTCATGTACCCTTTCACCCCTTCATCCATCATTCATCACATTTAGTGCTCAACACTTTCACACACCAACCTGATCACTGTCATATTAACAAACCAGCTCGTATTTTCGGGTATGTATGCATGTATGTATGTATGTATGTATGTATGTATGTATGTATGTATGTATGTATGTATGTATGTATGTATGTATGTATGTATGTATGTATGTATGTATGTATGTATGTATGTATGTATGTATGTATGTATGTATGTATGTATGTATGTATGTATGTCTGTCTGTCTGTCTGTCTGTCTGTCTGTCTGTCTGTCTGTCTGTCTGTCTGTCTGTCTGTCTGTCTGTCTGTCTGTCTGTCTGTCTGTCTGTCTGTCTGTCTGTCTGTCTGTCTGTCTGTCTGTCTGTCTGTCTGTCTGTCTGTCTGTCTGTCTGTCTGTCTGTCTGTCTGTCTGTCTGTCTGTCTGTATGTATGTATGAATGTATGTATGTATGTATGTATGTATGTATGTATGTATGTATGTATGTATGTATGTATGTATGTATGTATGTATGTATGTATGTATGTATGTATGTATGTATGTATGTATGTATGTATGTATGTATGAATGTATGTATGTATGTATGTATGTGTGTATGTAGGTATGTATGTATGTATGTGTATGTATGTATGTATGTATGTTATGTATGTATGTATATATGTATGTATGTATGTATGTATGTATGTATGTATGTATGTATGTATGTATGTATGTATGTATGTATGTATGTATGTTGTGTGTGTATGTATGTATGTATGTATGTATGTATGTATGTATGTATGTATGTATGTATGTATGTATGTATGTATGTATGTATGTATGTATGTATGTATGTTATGTATGTATGTATGTATGTATGTATGTATGTATGTATGTATTAGGTTAGTTAGTTAGTTAGTTGGGTTATCGTCATTGCACTCCGGACATGTCCATAGGTGCTCAGATCCTCCCCCTCAGTATGAACCCCAACGTCCGATGGCTATAGTACCAGTTCTATGTTGATTAACAAGTCTTCTGACGTGTCCGGTGTGCGTCTCCGTTTTTTTGCTGTGCCGATCTTAATTCCCAAATCTGCCATTCTGGCGAGTGATGTGGATTCACTGCCACCAAAGTCCTCTATCCTTCCCATTTCTCTGAGGGGCATTGATAATATCAGCATGATCCATAGGCCGACCGTCGGTAGTGATAGCGGATCCAGCCAACCTGTCAGCTCTTTCATTTCCATCGACGCCTGCGTGTCCCGGAACAAAAATAAAGGTGACTCCACGCACAGTGGACTTCTGTAATGATTCAAGCCATTGTCTTCGCACTGAACCTGCCTGAACCCTCCGGATCATACTCATTGAATCACTGAGTATACATATGCGGGTGTATTTTTGTGTTTCAAGCCAAGCAAACGCTTGCGTCACTGCCATCACCTCCATCGTCATGCTGCTGGTTGTCATGGAGAAGGCACCGTTGGCTTCTTTGACTGTTCTGCCCGCTGAGCGTGCTGTAAATGCCCATGCGCCTTCTTCTTTGGCGTATAACGGATCCGTCTGTATAGATTATTGCATCTGCTTCGTCTGAATTTTCACCGATGAGAGCGTTGACCTCTGCATTAACAGCAACAGGATTCTCTTCTCTGCATCGCCTGTTGAGTGTGACAATACAGGAAAATGTACAAATAAACGCCTGAGGCACAGGTATCCATTCTGCACCAGGTATGATGTCGGTTAGGCTGCATATTTGCCTAATAACATCTTCTGCCCGACCTAGCCACGATTTTCCCCTCTTCAGTCTGTCGCCCTTTTCACTAAAAAGCGCTTGATGCAGTGGGGTGTTTCTTATCAGCACATATTTTGAGGTATGCCCGAGCCCTCCACATCCTGATCCTTTGGTTCATTGTTGGAAAGTCAAGTAGATACCTCATTGCTTCACAGGATGTGTCTCTTGTACATCCCAAAATAATGCGCATGGCTTCATTTTGCACCTTTTCGAGTCTTTCAATCTGGGTGGCACTGACAGTGAGGATGGCCAGAGCGTATTCAATGGGTGAAAGGACCAGACCGTAGAACAGAAGTATTAGTAGTCTTTGCTCGATATTGGAAGCAGCCATAATCCTCATTGCAGATAGACCTTTGCGTGCTTTTGTTATCACATGGTCAATGTGTTCCCTGAATGACAAGCTGCGATCGAACCTCACCCCGAGAAACGTCATAACGTTGGTTCTGATCAATATATTATCACGCATTTTCACTTCTGGTAAGTCCGACTTGACAATGTGATTGTTCAAAGAGAACCATGACACTGATGCCTTCGAAGGATTGACATAGGCATTGGAACCATCACACCAGGCGGCGATTCGATCGAGTTCTTTGTGCATTGTGTGCTGGCGATCTCCTGTCTATCACGCCCCTCGTCGATAAATCAAAATGTCATCAGCAAATGACAAAGTCCTTCCCTTTCCATTCAACTGCTGCTCAGTGATCATCACCGTATAAACGTTGAATAAGACTGGTGATAGCGGTGATCCCTGTGCAAGCCTGGACATATCGTTTGCGGTTCTGAGGACCAGCTACCACATCTTAGTACAATCTTTCTCTGGAATAGGACCGCAGCAATCCAGCGGGATCAGAATAGGATTGACTTCTAGTTTTAAGCAGTAATTGCATTAAATATTCGTATGGTACTTTATTGTAGGCATCTTCTAAGTCCAACACTGCCGCACATGTCTCTTCTTTAATCTGAAATCCCTCGTACACATCGTAGGCGAAAAACAGCAGCATTGAACCATGTCTCTTTCTTCAACCTGTACCCTCCAAGTGTTGATGGGAGCTTATCATGTAGTTCCAAGTAGGTGGTCAATCTTTGTGCGACAATTTTTTCCAAAAGTTTGCCAACAGTATTCTGCATCGAGATGATTCTGTAGCCGCAGATCTTTGAGTGGTCTTTATTAGGCTTTGGTAGTGGGAACAAATAACTATGGAGCCATTCCTCTTGTATCTGGCCACTCTGGATGCTGATATTGAATTCCTTTGCCACGCTTTTCAAATCAGCATTCGACATCATCAGCATGTCGTTGTATCGGATGCCGTCAGGGCCTGGAGCAGTGCTGCGCGATTTCTTGAGGCAAGTTCTTAAGGTGTCTGCAGTGATTGTGAAATCAGTGCCTAGCTCAGTGTTCTCGCACAGCATCGACAGTTTCATCTTAACCCCTATTCTTGCAGCTTCGTCTTTTTGGTCAGTTTGCTCCAAGTAGCGCGCAAGAAGGGTTTTTTCCTTTATCAGCATCAGTTCTCTGCCATATCAGGTCTGTACCCTGAAAATCAGGGATACCCCTTGGTCGTGCGGCGCCGTTGCATGCTCCGTTGAAGGCGCCAGAATGTCACAAGAGATCCCTCGGAGCAAACGCTCTTGCAGAATTCGTTCCATTTCGCTGTCTTGGCTTCTTTGGCAATTAACTTGAAAGCCACTGTCCGCTTGTTAACCTCATCTTTTAGACTGATCAGGCGTTCAGAAAGTGACGGATCAATTTTCCTTGCCTTTTTGCCATGCCTTGACAGCGTTCCTTTTTTCTAGCCACGCCATGTTGACTACTTCATTCCACCATGGTGGCTGGGCCCATCTCTCCCGCCGTCTGCGATCTGCTCTTGTTTTACGTCGTCTGATTTTGCTAATGGCATCTTGCCCTGTACGGTCATATAGAAAAGCAGGCACAATGATTACATGACCTTTGTTGTTGCTCTTCTCCACCAGGACGACGCAAGGAAAGTGATCACTGTCATGGTATCCCAGTGTGCTCCACCTGCATCCTGATGCAATGGAGGGAGACACTAGGGCCAGGTCAATTACGCTGTCAGAATCCCCTTGTCGGGTTGCCATTCGGGTAACCTTTCCGTCGTTCAAGCATACTAGATCGGCAGACACTAGGGCATCCTCCAGGTCTTCCCCCTGTTTATTGGTGATTACATTGCCCCACCGGTTTCCTCTGGCGTTGAAATCTCCGCAGTATGTATGTATGTATGTATGTATGTATGTATGTATGTATGTATGTATGTATGTATGTATGTATGTATGTATGTATGTATGTATGTATTATCCATATTAGCATGTATGTATATATAATGCTGGCACTTCCTAGAATGATCTACGTGTGATATGCGAGGGTCTGTTAGAAAGTAATGTTTTCTTGACTTTGTCCCTAGCAAAATGTTTTTGCGGTATAGATGCATTTCAGTGACAATACAAATCTGTGTATCTTGTCTATGTCTCATGCAAAATCAGACCATTTATATGAACATTCGCCAAAAGGACATGAACGGTTTTTTTTTTCTTTCAAGGTGTTTATTGTTAACCTAGCCATTTTCTCACAGCATGAATAAAATCTTTACGTCTGAAGCCTTAACTCTCCAAACCCTTCGACAAAGAGAGCTCCTATCGACTTTAGAACTGCCATAAAGAGCAAGCAAAATGTAATGTCCACTACAGCCTACACCCCCCCCCCCCCAACCCCTCTTAAGTAGTCACAGGATTTAACTATTCGCTTTTTGTAACGAACATCCTTTAGCATTGCATGTTAACGGATTACTGCAGCTCTTGTTGTCTGCGGAATATTATGCCAGCTTATATTTATAGTATACTAGTACGTGTACAAAATGCATGACCCTATCTTCAATATTCACTGACAGCAACAACAACAACACACACACACACACAACATAATTTGGTGCATCACCTTCTTCGTGCATCTTAATATACTGAATTTCTTGTACTTTTTTTTTCAACAGCATCCGCAGCCAAGAAGCAGATCACTGCTGCCCTCTTAACAACACACATTCTCACAGCTCTGATGATGTCCACAGGGACATAGCTGAGTTAGATACATTCTAATACAACGTCGTGATATCCAGGTGAGATTGCTGGAATAGACCCAATTTCGCGTCAGTCTGTGTGTCTGTGTGCATACGAACACGCTCGCGTATGGTATGGCATCACAGTAACGGATTATATTTGTGTGGTGTGGGTGGTGGGGGGGGGGGGGGTTTTATTAAAAATATAAGCATCCTATTTTAAATTCTATTCACGAGACAGAAAGGACAAGGAGAATTCATAGTCACCCCATGTAAAAACAGAACAGCCATGCAAGAACCGAGGCGATTTGTTTGACCGTGGAAAATGGGAAAAAACGGTTCTAAA